AGCAGGCTCTGGCACCTTATGAAATAGACCAGTATTAAATATGTTTTTATAGTTTTCGATGACTGGCCCCACGTGCGGGATCCGGTTTTCACTCGATTTGATGAGAACATCAGTCGAAAATGACACTGTGAACTGCTATACAGACACATGTGTCATTTTTCTGTCTAAATGTAGCATTGATAATCAAATGATATTTGTTTGTGCGTCTGACTTGGGATGGTCTGCTGAATGGTCACATGGCGAAGTACACATTAAAGATTGGGTGACCTTGTGGAACCTGAGTGCTTAATCCAATTGCCCGTATTGCGTAGGGAATCATTGTTTGGAAATTAATAGAAATATGGTTTTTGATGGGAAACTGGTTCGATTGATGTGCATGTTCATTGAAAAGTTTATTCTATCACCATTAGAGTGTGTCCTGCCTGAACAGCGATAGGATTGGTGACTGAAGTCGACCGAGCGTTAAGATATCCATGGTGATTCCAGATAGTGCATCACAAGCCCGGCATGTCGTACGCTTGGGAATCCCCATTGCGGGTCGTTGCTGGTCGCTGGAGGAGGAGTCGTAGTAAGTCACCAGCCGATCACTATTGATAGAAAAAGCCATTTCGCCGCTTACATCGCCCCGCATGCTCAGCGCGACGATATCGACTATAAACGTGAGCAGGACCGTTTTGCGCGATGACGTTCTCGGGACTCAGTGTAGAAGAGTGATTGTGAAATTCCATAGGGAAAAGAACAGAAAAAATTCGTTTTTTGCGGTACATGTAAAAAGCGAATGGATGGGATCAAGTGTCGAATGTCTGTTCACAGAGGCTGAACCATTGTCGAACGCCCGCGAGATCGAGATTCCTACTGCAGCATTCGGTCGAATGTGCTTGAGGAATTGTGGATGGTGAAGTAGGATTGTTATTGGGTGTGTCATCATCATGTGTACAGAAGCTCGAATCCACAACCAATTTGTTCCCTGCAGGAGCAGTGCTCTGCGTCTGTGACGTCATCCAGGGCTGCGAAATCTGACTCTAGTCCTTGACGGAATGGCTTGTACCCTGAGCCCAAAGTCATAATCATTGGTTTTGAATGTATGCAGATGGTAAACCGCCCAAGTTATGTCAGCTCCATGTGTCCAAAGGGATAATCATCATGGCAGTGGATCTCGGGGTAGTGGGCCTTTCAAGGGCTCTATCCAAGAAAAGAAACCCTCATGATCACATGTCCTCACTGATGTGTATTTCCCATTTCTGACGACCAGATCGACAAATGAGTGGTGCCGCACAACTTCAAGAAGCCCGCTGTTACCCAGTGCAGTGCCAGACTCCAACTGAACATGATATTTGGCAGTATCTCGACAGGAAGAATACTGAGACCTTGGTCCAGTTTCTCGTACTCGCTCGTGCACCGTGCAACCTCGTCTGTTTTGGTCTGGTTGCTCAGTGCCAAGCGCTATGACAGGTTGTCGGTCGACGATACTTACTTTAACAACATCTTACAGTATTGTTCGTCGTAGATGCTGGGGCGTGTCAGGGGATTGACTTTTCAGACCGCTCACCACCAATCGTTGAGGCGGACAAGCTACCACAACTGGTGGAACCGGGGTGGTGCTGCGCCAAACCCTTTCCACCGCCACTGACACGCTACAGCATATGCAAGCAAAGAAGGCTATACTTTCACTTGCTGGGAAAAGGAGCTGCTCGGTTTCTATGTTCTTGCCGAATAGAACGCTGTAAGCAGGTCATTGACGACGACGACGGTCCAGCCTCTGTGAACAGACCTTCGACACTTGACCATTCCACTCGCTTTTTACTTGTAGTGCAGAAACGCATTTTTTTCTGTTCTTCTTCCTTCGGAATTTCACATCCACTTTTCTACAAAGAGTCCCGAGAACGTCATCCTGCGCAGCTAACGGTCTGCTCACGTTTATAGTCGATATCGTCGCGCTCAGCACTCGAGGCGCTGTAAGGAAGGGCGACATAGCCTTTCTATGCAAATTAGTGATATTATCGAGAATCCAATTTAGAAGAAATATCTTCGATCTCTTTTGCTCTTCGATTCATTTGAACAAAAATTTCGAGTTTCTGAATGAAAACTCAATCCCTGGTTACATATTTACCTGAGAAGGACGAAAACTAATAAATATGCTCAGGATTATAGCTAGCCTAAAATACAGCCAATTATGCCCTGTTTGTGGTTACAGGTGTGACAGAACATTTTGGTGTTCCGATCGTCGATGTGGACATGGTAATGGCATCACTAGAGAATGCAATGGCCTCGACCGGCGGATTTTGTGTCGGTCGTTCTTATGTTGTCGGCCATCAACGACTTTCTGGTGAGTCAGTCTACAGAGCACGAGAGCGTAGAGCGTTCGAGCTCATTGAACTGGTCACAGTTTTGTTTTTGCAACATGAAAATCCAAGTATCTCCCATCTCATGTTTCATGTATGTTAAGGGTAGATGACATGAACAGCTGTTAGTTCATACCACAGTAATCTGCTCTCCCAACAGAACGCATGGACGCATGATTCGAAAGCAGTTCGTATTTAGGGAGCAGAGTTCAGGCTAACACAATTTCAGGTCTTGGGTACTGTTTTTCGGCGTCATTACCACCGTTATTGGCGACAGTCTGCCAGTGAGGGCTGCGAGTTTGTAATTTATTTATATTATTTTTGATTATTGACGAACAACCAGAGCGAGTGGTACGAGTCCAACGGTTCGCCATGGCAGTACATCGCGGTTTGGAGGCAGCATTCGAGGTAGGAGGCATCCTTGTCTTCCTATTGTAAGTAAAGCTCTGATCATAATCTGGCCGACGCTGCACGACCTGAATCGGTTACCATAGATGAAAACTTAATCGAGTGAAGCGTGCTATCTCATTTGCAGTCTTACTGGGGTTGTACGCCAACGTGATTAGATTAAATTGGTGAGCTGATGATTGTAAGTGTGAGGCGAAAAGTATTTGTACTCTTATGTAGGTTGTTAATGACTCAATAAAATACATTTTTGCATTCCACGGAATTTGTGGCGAGCAGCTGCCGAGTGAGGGCTGCAACGGATCTGCGTTGTTCATTTGTTGTGCAAGAACCCCTCCCCTCCCGCTGGGGCTTCCCTAGCTTGCGACGTACCATGGTGACATGTCGTCGTAGTGCGCCACGCTAGTAGGGGTGAGGAGCACGCGCAGCGCACCCGTGAGACGAGTTCACCTGCCTTGTTTGAAGGCGAGTGCTGCAGGGAAGGAAATTCCGATAATCTTGATCAGTCCGATGTCACCCATATAGTCTTGCCTCCGCTTAAAGACAGCTCCCGCGATAAAAGTGTCATGGATAGTTGCTTTTCAGTTATGAAACAGTAGCTGATAAGTAATTCCCAAAGAAGAAAAAAAGCAAGAAGAGTCCTCGAGAACACATAAACAAAATCGCTCCCTTACAGTCACACCGCCCTGCGGTCTCTGTGCAACCCCTGGCTCACAAATTCCTTATCACATCTCCCAGTAGTGGGTATCATCCAATGCAAAGAAAAGAATACGAAAAACAACAAAAACACGGAAGAAAAACTCTTGAAAAGGAAAAGAAACTTTCAAAAACTCGGCGTCCGAATTTAGGGTTACGGTAGCGTGCATCTTTTAGTGCGTCGAGCTTTTGCACCACGAAAATTGGGTCGCTCGTGATTTTTACGCGTTTTACCTTGCGAGATGGGTTGGAGTTGACTGTATGTGCTCCCAATGAATAAAATGTAATAAAGAAGAGCAGAATTATTCATGGGCACGAGCGGGTCAACAAAAAGGACATGCAGTTCCGATTAATGCTGCTTAATGCCCGGCGCCCCAACAAAGAACTGAGCGGCCTCCGTCGGAGGGCATCTAGCAAGTGGGCGGTCCAACTGGGCGGGCGTTAGAACTAGAACTTTCAGCGGCTGTAGCTCGCTCCTCGCTCACTGTGGAGTCGAATAGAGTGGACAGTCTCTAGCTTGGGGCTGTACTACTTGCACAAGGAAGGACGACCATGTACTACTTGAGCGCGGGGGCTGTCTTTAAACTCGTATGATTTTCGCTCCTCTAGTCGCAAAGCCACTACACATCGAGGATTTGCGTCGCATTGCCGCAAGGTAAGTCGCGCGGCGAAAGCGGCAAATTAGAATTGTTATGCCCGTCTACCGCGTGATGGGAAGTCTCGCTATCGCACACATGGTCTGGGCATCGAATCGTTGGTATAAACCTCGCCCAAGTGAAGGAGTTTCTTATCACTGAGTTCGATCCTAGAATTATGGGAGCTCTAGAAACACGTGATCATCTGATGACTTCCGTCAGCACCCTTACAAGTAGGCCACGTGCCAAGAACGAGCCTAATTAGAAGTTCCAACCTTTATGCTAATCAACGGGGAAGGGCAAAGTAGTCTATACCCAGATGTGATTCAAAAGCATTCAACGAAAATGTAAAATGGGTACTAGGTAAGTAATTGAAAGAAAGCGAAAATAGGGCATGCTGAAACACATCCTGCAAATCAGGTAAAATAGGTAAAAATTCGTCGGTGGTGGTCCAGGAGAGGATAATCAATCAAACCGCTATAGGTATGCACATCAAAAGGCCATAGTCCAAACTAGGCTAGGGTGCCTGTCAGTCAAAAAGTAATGTCGAATGTGTAGGATTGATCTGAAAGGGGTTGGTCAAGACCATCTACTTTCTGATTAGAATTCATCGTGATTTCGCTCTTTCGCGGCATCAGAATCGTCTCGTTTGTCAACACAACAATTTGGCTGCTGATAAAGAACGCGTTGACGAAATCATCGGTAACTTGTAACGAAAAGATAAAATAGAATAAAAGCCAAAGCTCCCGGTGTTGATCGTTTCTTTCTTGTGAAGCACTACGCTTCTATTCCTACTCAGAATTGTAGTGGCTACGATTACGGTTCGGCCCATACAATTATTTGCTGGGGTCAGCCTATGTACAAGTCGGTGTTTATATCCTCCCAGACAAAGTCTTGTGCCGCTTTTAAAAGCAGTTGGTACGATAAATCCCTAAGACGTGTAGGATTGATACGCCTGGCAGGACGGAATTCCGCGACCCTGAGCAGGCGCTGCGTAGCGCCTTTTCCAAGGAAGGTACCCTTATAAGGCCCTATCAAGCTACAACATACCGACCCGAACGCCCACCGCGCCCGCCCGCCCACAAATGGACGACCGTACCTGATGCTCGTATTGCTTCATTTGCTAAGTAAAATATGAAGCGAAGGGATTGATGTGAAGCGGCCGCGGTCTGCATGGGGTACATACAGCCGTATCTACCGAAGAGGTTATTGGCGAGATGCTTAAGAGAAACTCGTCCGAAATTGCTTTTTGAGTCATTAAGAACGAAGGCTTTTCTTCGCAGGTTTTTGACCGTTTCACTTCGTTTTTTCGCCATTTTCCCACTATATAGCGCCCTGCTAGCATTTTAGGCCGAGTACATTATCGTGCCAACTGCCTTTAAGTGTCCCTGGAGGTTAGAAGGCTTGGTTGGCCGAAGTGGGAAACGATCCGAGATTTCACCACCGAACCTCACGAAAGATAAGTGTTTCGTTTGCCACTACACTACCTTCGCCGTATAGTAACGACTTTATCAAACCAGAATGAATCACAGGCTGTGACAATATTACAGGATTCCATTTTCAGGCATTAAATCATGAAAATCGGTGTGGGCGGAGTTTTTGGCTCACTGTGAGTGTACCAGTAGCAGGAGAAGCAGTACCAGCTTTCTTTCTCGAAAATAGAGATGTGCACTATCTCTTGAATAGGGCTGATGTGTTTTATTGGTTAAAGGCCCGCTTACCACGCGCTCGGCCTGGTTTCGAGTTCGGATGGGTCCCAGCCAGGCTAGCTGAGCCTTCTATCCTACAAGGACGATGAATTGCTACCAAATTTGTCTGGGAGGATAGAAACAGTGGCTGCATGGCTCCCGGGAGTACTCGTCAGGGCCATATCGCATCTAGGGCCACTAAGAATCTGAATGAAAGTGGAATGCGTGCCGCATCTTGAGAAGGAGTTGCCTTACTCTTTACTCATTAGCTATACTCTTAAATCATCTGTTTAGAAAACGAAATTTGCCGTGCAAGGGTTCGAGTTGAGTCCGATGAAGCATATCGTTTACAATGGTGAAGATGCCGAGAGGAAGTTGGATTCACTTGTAGAAAAGGTATCCGTTATCTGAAATACATTTTTAGCCCTTTTTTATTATGTTCTAGTGTTTCCGCGTAATCTGACGTGTGAAATGGCGGCATCAGTACGAATTCTTCCCATCCCCACCAGGGTTGACTTACTGGTACAACTTCCTGTCCCTATCCTGCCTACCTGTCTTCCTAAGTTTTCTCAACTTCCTGCCACTTTTTCCCTGTTTTCGGAAGAAATTTTGCAGTTGTCTCCCAGAAAATTGATGTTGAGAGCAGTTGTATAGCCAAGGGGAAAAAGTGAGGCGAATTCTACCCCCTTCCCAACGACCAGCTACGATTTTCCTGATGGGATTCTCCTAGCGCGACAGGGCACATCATCGGTTGAGGATTTTAGTCGAGTCTGTACGACCCTCCCCCTTCTACCAATTCTCAGATTTTCCTCCAACTTCCTGCCCTTTTTTCCAAAATTTCCCGAAAAGTTCCCTACTTTTTACCAAAAATTTTGCTGTCGAGCGGGAGGGGGTTGTTCTCCGTTTTTTTTCCATTTGAAGTGGTTACCACTGTTCGCGACTTGCTGCAGAATTACAGTGGTATTACAAAAATTATTACCCATAACTTTTTTCTGCTGTACCTGTTTAACCCCTCAATGTGGTTCACACGATTCCAAAGTTTTTGTACTTTAGTTGTTCGATGACGCATCTATAATGATCACACGCGCTCGATATCTGGAACATGACGAGATGTATCCAATTAAACCCAGGTGAACCTAGTTTTTCTGATATCTTATTAAAGTTTATCCTAGGAGACGTGTAGTTAATTCAGCAATGTTTGCCTTTTTAGAGGATCAGTAGGGTGAGAATTGACATGAACGTTCAGGTGCCATTTAGTTTGCTCTCACTGGTCCACTAATATACCTATGGACCTTCGGTATTACCACATATCCTAACAGCGCTGCTGAATTGCGCCAAACTACAACGAAATAGTGCTTTGATGGGTGATAGCGAGTCATACAATCTCAGCTCATAGACCTAGACCCCCTTCCCCAACACCTTCCTACCGATTTCCCACATTTTCCAGTTTTTCACCCAAAGATTTTCCGTCGAGCGAGGTGGGGGGAGGGGCATTAAGTACATATGAACCAGGAAAAATCACGCGAAAAGTCAGCAACCAAAAAAAATTTTCCCCAGTGCAGAAAATTGCTTTTAAAGGCACACGACCCCACGACCAAATACGCCCCCTTCTCCAGCGGAAAAGTACGACCCCCTGTGCGTTGCACACAATGCTGCACCCTGTTTGCAGTTGGTGGGGTGGGACGTTTCTCATTGTTGCTGCAACACAAAGTTTTGCAACACTTGGTAGTATTGGAAAGAGTTCCTTCAAAAGTCCTAACAACATGAACGCGCTGTTTTATGATATGAAAGGAGCCTTGGTTCAAACGACTGCATTTAAGCCCAAAGAACAACAGACACACACATGCACACACACACACACACACACACACACACACACACACACACACACACACACACACACACACACACACACACACACACACACACACACACACACACACACACACACACACACACACACACACACACACACACACACACACACACACACACACACACACACACACACACACACACACACACACACACACACACACACACACACACACACACACACACACACACACACACACACACACACACACACACACACACACACACACACACACACACACACACACACACACACACACACACACACACACACACACACACACACACACACACACACACACACACACACACACACACACACACACACACACACACACACACACACACACACACACACACACACACACACACACACACACACACACACACACACACACACACACACACACACACACACACACACACACACACCACACCACACACTACTAGCACCACCATATAACTACACTGTAGATCTATTACATCTTTATTGTAGCTGTTTGATGATGGCTCACACCCTACCTCCCCCCCCCCACTGCACCCCTCCGCTCAACGGCTCGAGGCAGTTTTTCCTTTGAAAAAAAATCCGGGAATAAAGTCAGCGTGGCACCAAGATAATTCGAGAAAAAGGTACATAGGATAAGGGGTCGTACCAAAAAAGGAAATCCCGGAAGGGATCATACTCTGATCAACCATTTCACCCATTCCGATGATGTACTCTGCTTGACAACATGAAATGTATAATAAAAAAGGATAAAGTCTTCGCCGTTGATCAATCCCTTTGTGGGACGCATTCTACTTCCATTCAGAATCGTAGTGGCTTATTGAATGCGATGTGGCCTATACAATGACTTGCGGTGGCCAGCCGATGTACAAGTCAGTGTTTTATCCTCCCAGACGAATCTGGTACCAATTTACCGTCCCCGGAGGGTAGAAGGCTTGGTTGGCCTGGGCGGGTGTCGACCCGGGATTTGAACCCGGCGCCGCGCGAGTGGTAAGCGCGCCACTTGTCACTACACCACCTCCGCCTCGATTTTAAGAAACCGTACATGAAATGTACGGTTTCAAAAAATCGCTTCATGACCTGTGAGAACAGACGGGGACAGAACCCCCACCTCAGGCTTTTCAGGCCAAGTGCTGAACAGATAGCGCACTCGCCCAAAAAGCGTGAGGTAGCGGTTGCGACCCTCAGCTTGGGGTCAAGAGTTTTGCCCACAACTCAGCATTCTTCGGATAGGTTTTGGAGCGCGAACTATGGCGTTGAAGTGCAGTTATCTTAACAGAACAACCCATAAACCTGGAAGAGCGTCCTTGCTAGATTACGATTACTCGTTATTCATCTTTTTTTGATAAACAGGGAATAGAACAAAATGTCTTTGTTGGATGGAACTGAAAGCATATTGTCTCTCGTACTTGGGTTCATTCCAGTGCACGCCTGATGGTTCAATCTGAAATGACGGAAGGCGAAATTGAACGTGCATTGATATCGATTGCTAGTGCAGTTGCCGAATTGTAGATGCTTTTTACTGTAACCTTTTTCCTGTTTGGAAAACCCTAGTCGCTAAGCCATATTCTTCTGCTAGGTTTCTAACTCACTTCATTGTTGATTTGATTGATTGATAGAGTGGTATTTACTTGGTTCAACTTCTAGGCAATTGTTATCTGTGGAATGAAGTGCAATAACCATTTCTTCCAAGTTTTTCGGATATTTCCATTCTTCATTCCATTACCTATCTATCTGATTTGTAACTGTTAGACTTGACTGTGATTGTACTTTGTGAAAATGCTCATATCAATGAACTTCAGACTTTGCTATGCGTTAAATGCCATTGACGTTTTGTCGAAGAATATCTCTGTTCAGCAGGTTTCTATTGTGCATTACAATGCGCTATGAATCAGCAGTAAATCATCAACAAATTGCCCAGAATGGACGAGATGTATGAAGTTTGCTCCCTGATGCAGCAGGGAATCTTGAATCAGTACTTGGCAGTTGGGAGGCGCTTCTCTTTTCATGTGTGTTGAACATGCAGTTTTCGGAAAACTGGGGAAAAGTGGTAGAAGTTGGGAAAATACGGGGCAAGGGCGTCGTACAGGAGGAGGCAGTTGTGCATCTGGGGGTCGGGTCGGCGCCTACCGCCATTTCTCCCACTCCGATGCTGCACCCTGTCCCAGGCTTGAGCTCCACCTTTGAAGACACGATCAGCGGATAAATGCAAAGTTGTTCTTCCTCCGTGAGCAAGTAGTTTAGCTCCCAGGTTA